GTCTTTTGTATTTAAAAATATAAAAAGAAATCAGGTAGAGGGTTAACAGGAGATAACCGCGGATTCGAAGTCTGAACATTATCATTGATAACTCTCTCCTTCAATTTGCGGACCCTAATTACTATATTCTTAATACTTGATATAATACAAGAATATTACAATAATAAAATCGGTCAATAATTGTTTATAACTATTTATACTGGGACTCATGCATGCAATTACAATAATCCATCATAATATTCTAAATTTTGAAATCATATTTATTTTTGACATATGAATTTCTTGAAACTGTTTCTAAATCATTGATTGTATTTCAATCATTTCACCTCACTTACTGTCCTCTTATGAGGCGCGTCAATGAGACGCACCGCACCGTTTTGGAATAACTTCTTGAAAATAAAGATCAATAAAAGTATAAAGTGTAACATGCATTGTAGTATTTTAGTATGTTGCTTACTCTCCGATTGGAGAGTAAGCAACATACTAAAACACCAGCTTACGCGAAAACTGCTTAGCTTATTCGTTGGAAAAGATGATGAAAAAGATGAAACGTAATTATTTCTCATGATAAAAATACATTAGAGAAAACACACATAAATGAATGTGTAATTACAATTGGCGTATCAAGGCTGACATATTTGAACGTTGATTTCTGTAATCATATATTGATATTCCAGTCCAGCAAGAAGATAGATAACAAAGTGTGTGTGTCTTGAGAGATATATTCGTTTCAAGCTATTTGGCGCTATTAGGTCTTTCGGAAAACAGGGTCAATATATGACTTAAACGAGAAAACACGCATAAACGAGTCAAATGTTTTCTATATAGACTCAAAGACAGGATATAAAGACGTCAGATTAAGTATAGTGTCGAAACTGATACACGAACATTTACAAAAATATTATTCTTTTAATCGTCTTGTCTCTTCACGACGTTGATGATCATGACTCTCCACAATTTCCTAGTTTTCGTTACTGCTGTCTCTCCTAAACCCAGTTCCGCCAACCATTTAAGCAATCTTTCTTGGTAGGTTATACATTACATTTAACCTCTCTTGTGAGTATAAAATTTTCCAATCCCTGTTTCCTCATTATGTGCTCTAGAAATTTCAACTGTCTCTGCCTTATGTTAAGTATAAGTTTTATTTTTGTTTCCATTTTCTCTAAAATCTCCTACTGTAGAGCCACGTTTCTGTTGCCTCAAATCTCCCGTTCATCTGTGAGATTTTCCAGCATCCACTGCCATAAAGGAGGACAGATATTACACAACAGTTCAGTACTTTTTTCATTGTTTATAACGATTTTTTTCTGTTCTGACTAAAATACAAAAATAAAATTTACCAGGCGGTGATTTTTTTTTCCTTATGAAACATTGAGGATGAATTTTCAAATTGGTGAGAAAATTGTTTGAGTGGATGAGGTCATTTGAATTTCGCTCCTCCACATTCCTAATTAAAATGTTTCCCTAATCTGTTTTCCCCGCGCGTGATATTTTGTCACTTCCCCTCCTTTGCTCTGACCTCTGATCCCAGTAACGCTATATTCCGCTGGGCAAACATTCCTAAAATCATCTGGCCGGCCTTGATTATTCATTCCCAAATACTTGTGTAGATAAAAACATTAAACAGAAGGCAAATAAAAATCGAGATACTTTCTATAATGCATTTAATCATTAAAACATTATTTTTTTTATTGCTTACAAATTAATAAAAATAATCAGTAGACTTATATTTCTATGCTAAAGTGAAATAGTGTGTTGACATTTTATACGAGTTGTATATTTTATTTGTGTTTATAGTAAATAAAAAATGTCTATAGTGCGCCAACAGAAAGTTTATAATTTCAGATAAGCTGACAGAGTATGTCATATGAAATTCAACTTACTATAGATATTACAGCAGCAACGCGTAACGTGGTGAGGCTGTCAAATTATACTTCAAAGGAGAGTTCAATATGCGCATGCGTCGGTCTTGTAGCTGTGAGCCTATACGCCAAAGGAGAATCCGCATGTTATACATACAGTGATCCCTCGTTTATCGCGATAGATTGGTTCCGAGTCCGGACGCGATAACTAAGTTTCCGCGAAGTAGGGACGACATATTTACTGTATTTATTTAATGTGTATTTGGACTTTTAAAACCCTCCCTGTACTGTTAACAATCCACCCATTACAGTACTCTATTAATAACAAGGACAACTGTTAAGCAATAACACTTTAGATTAAAAAAATAAAGATTGTTACTGTATTCAACTAGCTAGAAGTTGAAGTAGAATTTGAATGATGGTGGTGATGAATTTGCTGCGCAGTAGAAATCATGATGATGAAGCTGATGATGACTTCTACTGTGCAGCCGATAATTGTATTTTACGTCTCTTCAGATGTCGGGGCCCATTCTATTGATATTTTACGCTTGTTTTGTTATTCCTAGACCAGGAAATAGTATTTATTATTAATATTTTAATGAAAAATTTTTAGGTGTTCATATATCGCGATTTTTCAAGAATTTTCTAGAAACTCCGCGATATATTTTCCATATATATATATTTTCAAAATCCGCGAAGTCGTGAATCCGCGATAGTATAACCGCGAATTAACGAGAGATCACTCTACATACAATAAGTGTATCCTTTAGTCTTGTACAACGGAAGAGTAAGTCTCACTTGTACGTTTATTTCTCGTCTCGTCGAAAAAGGACACATATAAAAGGATATATATATATATATATATATATATATATATATATATATATATATATATATATATATATATATATATATATATATATATACATATATATATATATATATATATATATATATATATATATATATATATATATATATATATATATATATATAAATGTAAAGATAAACGAATTGTTAGAACAAGTAAATATTAAAAACTATAATAACCTTCAACTACCACCACCTGATGAGATGCTATTTGGCATCGAAACATGGATGTATTGATGTAGCGTTTTACATATGTTCGAATGCAATACCTTATATATAATATATATATATATATATATATATATATATATATATATATATATATATATATATATATCTTGAAAAATATATTTCAATTGAGCACTGATTCTATAAACAACAGCCACCTGCGCTAATGCAAAGCTTTTTCAGCAAAATGGACTGGACCCTTCTGATTGGCGATTGTTTACATTCATAAAGGAATACATTAGAATTAACTTTTTCTCGCTGCTGAATGATGATAGCTCTGTGTTAGAAACTCTGACTGACACCAAATTGGTCGGGTTTCGATCCTGGTTTGAAATATTCGGATGTCGAGTCGCACTGAGAAGCTGTGATATAGCGAAACAGTGCTGTTTGCGAATGTTATATGTATATATATAAAATAGCGCTTGTGCCAATGTTGTCATCATATTTTGTTTTTTCATTCCAGAAATTTCATTAACAGGACAATTAAATCTATATATTATAAATAACACATATGGATCATCTTTCGCTTTAATATAAATATATATATTATTATATATATAATTACGCAGACATATATATTATGAAATGGACTAACTTTAATATATTTTATGTTTATACGTTATTTTTATAGATATAAATATTTAAGTAAATGCTCTGTTTATAATGAACGATATTAACTACATTTGTGGGCCTGAATGTACGAGAAATTTCAGAGAAAATATGTTTCCTCCGACAGGAATCGTCCCTGTATCCTACACTAAACTGTCATATAGCTACAGATGAAGCAGTTTAATTGTGCTAACTACACGCTTCATCTCTAGCTAAATGTATTCAGGCTTTATGCTCAGTATCAGCGATAGTGTATTTATAAGTCTAAAAGTGGAGACTGACGTCAAATAATCTCTTTTCCGGACAAATTATTCTATGAGGAACTGAGCAATATTAAGCAAGTTCTAATCAACAATATCTTTCCTAACCAAGTCTTCGGTTTAATTTGGAATAAAATAACGCAAGACACCACCCGGATACAAACGAAAATAAACAAGCCATTAACTTATTCTGTCGTAAGAACGTGCACCCTAATTTAAACAGGATGAAATAGCAAAAAATTATATTTTTCGCCGATACATATAACTCGATAGAAACAAGATTTATCACCTAGTATAAATGTTTAAAAAACTAATCTAATCATTTCAAACAACATGGAACCTCAAACATCTTTCCTGTGTAAAAAAATAATGTTGTCTATGAATTCTACTGTTCGCTGGATGATTTTATTTGTAAAAAAAAAAACAAAACAAAAAAACAACAGGATTAGATACTTATATAGGGCACACATGCACGCAACCTGTTACTTGTTAGAACCCAGTGCAATTCGTGCATATATTGACCAGCATACCACTATCAACCAAAGTACAACAATCAACAAATATTAGTGGATATTACCAAAATATTCTAAAGAACGTAATGCAAATAAATCTAAAGCATTTCAAGTTCAAGTTGGAAATAATCAACCTAAAATTGATACTAAACAATTTCAAGTTGGACTAACCAATTTCAAATTGAGACTAAAAAAATTCAAGTTGGTACTAAACAATTTCAAATTGATACTAAACAATTTCAAGCTGGACTAACCAGTTTCAAATTGAGACTAAACAATTTCAACTTGGCAAATATATTTTTCAACAAAACAAATGAGGCATAACAATGAAACTAACAAATATTTATTGTCCTTAACTCATGAAACATGAAATATCAATGTACTCGTGCATGTCAAAAATTCATATCCTCAAGATCCAAGGCTAGCTGTATAAATTGCTGAACATGTGTCAGCAGTGCAGTATATTTAGGCAGGGTTGTTAGTGGTATAATATTAGCAATAACTTGCTCTAGTTGTGCCCTGCGAAATTCAGTTTTTGTTGCATTTTCCCATTCTTCGCGTTCAAGTACTCGAGGAAGCTTCAAAGCTACCTCGGCTTATGCATCAGCCTTAAGAATTGACCGTGCTACTTCTAAGGGATTCATTATCGAATTCTATGT